AACGTTCATTTAATCAATCAAAAGGTGTATAAATATTGCACGCATTATTTATACATACATTGAACACCTTTCTGCTGTACGTGCACAATCGGAAAAATTCAAATCAAGTATACGGCGCAGTGGCAGGAGCAGCAGCAAATAATTAACACATTAACAATGTGATTTATATACATGTATATCAGTGATAAATTCATAAATACATAATATGCTGGCATCATTGGTAAGCGACACGTGACAATATAAAACAAACCAACTCAATTTATATGCAATTCGCAAACATTAACACAATAAATAAACAAATATGCCACGTGGCAGCCAATGAAATGCAACACACACTATTCAATGTTAAATTAATTGTTAAGCTATTAAATGCAGCAGCAATAAGCGATAATAAGAAATATTCCAAATAATAGTTGTAAATAAATGTTGAACAAACAAAGATTATTTTATTATTTATTTTATTTTATTTTTAAATTTAATTTAAATTTGTATTTTTTTAAATTTATTTAATAAATACCATCCGATGTTTCTATAATTTTTTTTTTTTTTCTAAGATATCTCATTGGATATTTCAGGCATGGCTGAAAGGCTTTGACCACTGGCACAGAGATACACAGGATAAATCTACATAAATATAGTCCAGACTACTTCATAGTGGCCCATTGAAATGCCAAGCAATCAACAGTGTGCACGACAACACTCGACCTCTTGCAAATTGCTATAAAGCCAAAAAGAGAGAGAGAGAGAGAAAAAAAAAACAGAGAGAAGAGAAATAACGAAAAATAGTTAAATGACATGAAAGGCCAATGGCCAAACAAAAGTGCAACGAGGTCGGCGCACAGCAAACTTTGCGGTTAAAACTAAAGTGGCCTGTTAGGCTTTCAGAAAAGTGTCCAAAAACTTTGGGCACAGAAAGAATGCTGCTCATCTGCATTTGGCCACAGTTTTTGGTGTGGTCGCACCCCAAACTCTCACAGCCTCACACTCACTTTATCGTATACCTTTAGAGTCGCTGTTAGGTGTGGGTATGATGCGTTTGTGAAAGCAAAGCCAACAGGTAGGTGAAAGTATGCCCGTGCGATGGGATAAAGAGGGATTAGATGAAGTTGTTATTTCTATGTCTGTTTACCGTAATTTCAAGAAATGACTATCAGAGCTCTGTAAAACATGTATATTAACCAAGCCTTCTTTCAATATGAATTGCTTAAATAGCTCTGTTGACATATGCTAAGATCTTTGCTTTATTTGCCAATGATCATTTATCTCTCGTTGCTTTTCTCTGCCTCTGTCTTCTCTCTCCACTCCCTTACCACCTTTTTTTCTATATTCTAGTTCCTTTAATTATCAATCTCATTGAAAGTATCTAGGCAGTCGCCTACTCCCTGAACTCTCACTTGTTTTCACTCTCACCTCTCGTACTCCCTCCTCCCCCTCTCCCGACTATACACAGTCTACATTTTTTTTTTTGTGTGGCTTTAATATTTCAACACATTTTGCATTGCAGTTGCATAGAGAACGCTTGAGTTGGCCCCCAGGACAAATGCCTCACGCTCCAAGTGTCTCTTTTTGTGGTAATTTATGCATGTTGTTTGCGTACTGCTGACTTTTTCGGCATTTACTCGTTATAGAATAAATAAAATATGTCACAAAATGCTTTGACATGCTTGTTACATTTTCTACACATATAAACTACAGTTTTAACAGAATTTTAGAATTTTCGAATTTGTGCTTGGGTTTACATATAATTTATGGATTTTCATGTTTTGAGGAATTTACATCTGTCAATTTATATATGCTGTATATACTTAAATGTAGATAAATATAATGTAAATATACATGCATAAATACATATATACATAGATACATAGATGCATAGATACATAGATACATAGATACATAGATACATA